CTAATGATATTCTGAGGTTTCTCTCCAGGCCTTCAGGGATAATTCTCCAATAACAGGGCTTAGGGACCAGTGGCCCTGTGTTTTCTGAGCTATGCCTCCCCCAGGATAGCCTCTCGCAAGCTCTTCTTCCTTTGTATGGTCAATACCCCTCCCATCGGTGGGTCAGACAAACAATGTAAGACCACCTCGGTCAATAAAGTTTGTAGGAAGCAATCCCATGTGACTTCTGAAGTCAGCTCCTGCGAACTCTGTTGCTCTCTTGTCTGGGCCCTTATCCACAAATATAGCCTCCATATTGTCAACAAATACAACAAGGATTGCATGGAGCTGTTCTGACAGCTCCCACCCAACTGCCATCGTCAGCCCCCAGGCCTGTAAGTATAGTGGCTGCCACTACACAGAGCAGAAATGGTCACCAAGCCATCCCTATATCACAGATTCATGAGCAAATTGCTGGCCTCTTAATTTACAAAATGCTAACTTTACCCTTTCAAAGGATCCTGAAAGATGTGTTGTGAGCCCCACCACAAAGCAGTACTAATAACTCCCCCCCAAAAAAATTCTTTCATGCCACAATACAAAGAATAATCTAGAATAAATACATCACAGATACACTGTGGATTAGGTGGTGGCAGGATCTTGGGTGACTTTTGCTTCTTAGTATATTTCTAGACTGTGTAATGACACTTTGAACAGGACACTATTGGAAGCAGCTCAAACAATGCTGAAGTGACTTCAAAAGTGACTTCTTTGACCGGACTTCAGTTCTCCACCACAGACATCCCACCCCCCAGCACGTACAAAGGAACCACAAACCTTCGGAGTTTGCACGCTTTGAACCTCCAACAAAAGCCTTCTGGGTCCAAGTGGGATTGTTTCAGGGGTGCCTAGTAACACAGCCCACAGATAGACAGAACTAACAGCACACCATTATAAATCCCTCCCCCACTAAGCCGCGGGAGGCTGGGCAACAGCTCCATGGGAAGATACTGAGAAGCTTTGTTTTCGGTACTGACTGGCCCAGGAAAGCCAGTTTGAGGGAGTTCGTCACCAGAGCAGCCACCAACATGGGGCTGGGAACGGTGCATGTGGCATCTTAGGCTGAGCTATCAGCCTTCAAAACTGTCATGAAATAAAACCAGGCTCATCTGCAAAGACAGGACTCCCCAGCCACTTGCTTTAGGGACCCACATTAAGCTCCAGGGCCAGGACTTACTGGTCCAGCAGAAGGTACTTTTCACTACTAACATCTGGAGCCATGGGGGTTCCAACACCATGAGGTTAGAAAACACTCAAATCCCACTGATGCCTGCTAGAGGCAGTTTTCCCTTATGAAGCTGTGAGTTCATATTCACACAAGTATGCTTGTGCAAAGCCAAACAATCAAGTTCTACTTTGTGATGGTCATGGGAGCACCAGGTCTCCAGTCCAGAGTGGCTCTGGCCATGTATGAGGCTCACAGACGATGTGGTATAAGGGTTGCTTTAAAACTCACGCACCAATAAAAGACATATATCATTTGTGAACACACACACACACATGAAATAGATGGAAAGCAACACGCCATGATGCCACTTGCTGTGGCAACCATGGGGAGGCAGCTAAAACAGGAACCGTACGTCAGTTTCTTCTGGTGTGTTAATACTATTTCAGGTGAGCCAATCAGGCGGCGCTCCTCCCACGTGGTCTGGAGCTTCATGCAGGAAGCAAACAATCCACTGAGGAAGACATAATCTGCCAGGGCCAATAGGTTCAAAGTAGGTAAGGGGTGGGAGCTGTGCAGGGCTGGACAGATGCCAAGGCCCAAGGCAGGAGCCCATTAAAGAGCAGAAAGAGGTTATAAGGGAAGTGGCTATAATGGTAGTTAAAGGGGGACAATAGGTTCTGACAAGCAATCCTTAGGGTCAAGAAGATGGTGTTGCCTTTTATCCCTCTGAGAAGGAACTAGTGAGTTCTGAGTAGAGGAGGGTCATGGTATGACTTAAGATTTAATAGCATCCCTCAAGGAGTTCAAGTGTATGAATATATATATATATATATATATATATATATATATATATATATATATATTTCAAGTCCTTGGTGATGTGGGCACACAGGAGAGATGCTAAGAGCTTGGCCTAGAGTGATCCCAGTGCACTATGGGGGAGGCAGGTTCAGGACATGTTTCAAAGGTGGGGCCACCGAGCATCCTTACAATTGGATCTAGGGCGAGGGTAAGGGGTGCCTTATTATGGTTCAGACCTACAATGACTTCCAAAGTTCTGTGTGTGAAAACCTTGGTCCCTGGAGTGTTGCTATTTAGAGGTGGTAAAATCTTCAAGAGATGAGGCCCAGTAGTATGCCACTTGGGTTGCATCCTTGAGGAGAACAGTGGGATCCCAATCCCATCCTTTCCCTCCTTTTCTTCCCACCCCTGAAGCGTACGGCATTGTAACTCCACCGTGTGTGTGTGTGTGTGTGTGTGTGTGTGTGTGTGTGTGTGTGTGTATGCTACCACAAGCCCCAAGGAAAACTGTGAGCCGAAGTGCACCGCTCCTCCTCCGAGAGAGGTACCTCTCTAACCTCCTTGGGTACCTGTGACAGTGATGGGAAGCTGATGGACATGGGCCTGAAGAAAGAGGTTGACAGCAGAAACCAATGCAGAGAAAGTTCAGGCTGACAATCTCTGTCACTCGACACACTGGAAATCTCATGGCGTGACTGTCAGTGTCAGGGAAAACAGGGAGGCCTCTTTGGAAAAGAGATGGGCCATTCTCAAGAAGATCCTAAACCGCCACAGGGCCCAACTGGCCGAATTAGATGCCCAATACTGTGAAAAATGATGATGAGACGTGGGAAGAAAGGGTTTGTTTGCCATATAGCTGATACTGAGCCAGTCCAAGGCCGGAATGGAAGCAGAGGCCATGGAGAAATGGTGCCCTCTGGCTTGTTCTACACGGCTTGCTCAGTCTGCCCAGGGGTTGTACCACAAACGGTGCAATGGCCCCCATGTATCAATCATTAACAAGAGGAATGCCCCACAGACTTGTCTACAGCCCAATCTGATAGAGACAATTCCTCGCTCAACATTCCCTCTTCCTAGATGATCCCAGCTTTTTCAAATTGACAAAAGAAACCAGCACAGCAACCAACCCACTCTCCAGTATATGCCCACAAGACAGTAAATTATGTGAACTCATACCCCCCAAAAAAAAAATCCATTGCAGGATCGCTCACAGCAAACCCCAACACCTGTGAGCTGATGAATGAATAGCGCAGATGTGGTCTATCCACACAGTGGAGTAGCACTTGGCACTAAAAGAGAATTAGAGTACAGGACACGTTACAACACAAACATGTTAGTACGGCTCCTAAAAGCCCGGTCCCCAGAGGACCGCCTTTAACTTTTCCTGTTTTTAAATCTTATGTGTATGGGTGTTTTGCTTGTTTTAATCTGTGTGCCATATGCAGGCAGTGCTCACGGTGGCCAGAAGAGGGCATCAGATCCTCTGGGACTGGAATTACAGATGGTTGTGAGCCACCTTGTGGGTGCTGAGAACGGAACCCAGGTCCTCTGGAAAAACAACCAGGGCTCTTAACCACTGAGCCGTCTCTCCAGCCCCAGAAGGCCACCTTCTGTATGATTCCAGTTATGTGAGTGTCTAGAAGAGATAAATTGTGGGCTCAGAGCGTAGTGGTTGCCAGTGACTGAAGGATGACAGTCAAGAGAATGAGCAGGACGGGGGTGGCTCGAGGGGGTGGAAACGTTGAAGCACTAGTTGTAGCTGTGGTGTGGCAACTGTAACATACTAAACTTGTTGATGTTGCATCTTTAGGGGCAACCTCCTGCTTAAGCAAATGAGTGCACTAAAAGCAAAAATTTCACCATCATCACCAGAAATAGCAACTATATCTGTCTATAACTGCATTAATCTCCTATGCAGTTCCTTATTGCACATCTGCAGAAAACATTTAGTAATATTTTGTGCACTGTTGTTAGTCACATATGTACTAGCATTCCCAAAAACTGCTGCAGCGTGTGTCCTCACTCATCCTTGTTTGGTGATCTCTCCTGGCTGGGCTCCTCATGAATGTCAGCTTCTGGCCATGGTACGCAATAATGCGCTGAATGAACACGCTGCACGTGTGGTTTTCTAAGGGAGAAGTCAAGAAGTGGAATTGATGTGAATTACTCTGCTAAATTGCCATTGAGATATATATATATACATATATATATATATCTCTCCATCTAAAATGCATGTGATGCCTGATTCCTTTCCAGTTTGAGGTGGTTGAACCAAGTGTTTAAGAATGAGTAGGATAGGATAGCTGAGCAGTGGTGGTGCACACCTTTAATTCTAGCACTCGGGAGGCAGAGGCAGGCAGATCTCTGTGAGTTGGAGGCCAGCCTGGTCTACAAGAGCTAGTTTAGTTCATGGGCGGGGTGGGGGGGGAGTAGGATTAAGGACAAAGTGCTAGTCTGGTGCTATAATGGAAGAAAGAAAATCATAATGCTTTTCAACTGGGAGCTAACACTTATCAGGGATGTACACAAGACAAGATCTGTCTTTCTAATAGCCAAGGGTCGCTGAGTTTGTCTTTTGCTCCATTTATGGCTGGGTAAAGGTTCCTATGGTAGGTAACAAGAGGGGCCAACGCCACAGCTCTCTGTGAAAGAGAAAGGAAAGGCCTGTGAGAACTCAAGAGGAAGCGGTCTGTCGTCCATCTCCCAGATTCAAGTTCTAGGGCGCCAGAGAAAATAGTGGCCAAACAGCCACGTCAAGTCCTTGCCAAGTCACTTCCTGGAGCCCGAAGGTGGTAGACGACCACTTTCCTCTCACCAAAACCCTAACTCCGTCTACTTTTAAGTTTGTTCCCTCCTCTGTCCTACTTAGATAGAGAGAGGGAGAGTTTAGGAAGCTGTCCGGAGATGAGGCCTCTCCACTCCCAGGGGCAGCGGACGCCAGGCGGATTACAGGAGCAAGGATTGGGAAGTGCGGGAGAGGACCTCTGTTGCCCGAAGCGCTCCCACCTCTGGCCTGGAGAGAGCCTGGAGAGACCAAAAGAACTGGCCCAGGCACTGGTTACAGCGATGGGGATGCAAATGGAAAGCAATGGGGAACGATGGGGATGCGAATTGGGAGCGATGGGGAGCGCGGGTCAAGGTCGTTACAGCCCCAGAGTGAGAGCACGCTGCTCCAGCGCCCCCCACTGAGACAAACACAGATGCCCTGCACGGCCCACGCAGCTGCCTGGACAGGGTCCCGCGCCTCTCCAGCCTGGCGGTGGCCGCCCGGCCCCTCCCTCCGCGTTCGCCGGCGGCTGTCTGAAGGCGCCGCTGGGCCCAAAAGAGTCGCCTGGGTCTGGGCATGGAGGGCGCGGCGGGCGACCCGTACCGGCGACCCGCGCGGCGCACGCAGTGGCTGCTAAGCGCTTTGGCTCACCACTACGGGCTAGACCGCGGCGTGGAGAACGAGATCGTGGTGCTGGCTACCGGTCTGGACCAGTATCTGCAGGAGGTCTTCCACCATCTGGACTGCCGGGGTGCCGGGCGCCTGCCGCGCGCCGACTTCCGCGCGCTGTGTGCTGTCCTGGGGCTGAACGCCGACGGGGAGGCGACCACCGAGGACGCAAACTCCGCGGAGGAGGCCGCTAAGGACTCGGCTGCGGGAACAGTTGCCGGAGGGGACGCGGACGTCAGGGAAGAGGCACGCCTGGCTCTGGGGGCCGACCCTCCCGAACTCACTTTCCGCCAGTTCCACGCACGCCTCTGCGGCTACTTCAGTACCCGAGCGGGGCCCCGGCTGCCCCGCGGAGCTCTCAGCGAGCACATCGAGACGCAGATCCGCCTCCGCCGCCCGCGTCGCC